ATTCCTGTATATGCTACACAGAAATCAATCAGAATACTCCATGGATTGGCTTAAAGTCATTTCTACTCACAAGGAAGGGTGAAGAATGAATTTATATTTTGTCCAACCTGTATTTGATCTATGACCAGCATGTAATTCCCATGAACATTAATACTTTTGCATGAAATTCACCACTGACGCAAGCAAGGGCCACCCAATCAATGGCAATGAATCCGGCCTTTTGTGGTTTTTATATCAAGGAGTTTACAGGTCCTGAGGGTTCCAGAGGTTTGTGAATAGCAGTTTCTGAGCAGATTCACTGGCCTATTGATGCAAGTTTCTCTTTTTCTTTTTTAGCACTGACTTTGTTTTCTAGGCAATTAACCACAATACCATTTTATCCTGTCAAAAATAGCAATCTACAGTTTTACTTATGTAATCACCAAATGCAGAGGCAGCAGACAGTGAACCAGCAATCAGTTCTCTCTCCCAGCAAGTTCTGCAGGCAGTTTTGGTGGTGGTTGAATTTTTTAATTGAATTTGAGGGTTTCGATTTCAGTGAAACAAACATGTAGAAATAAAGCCTCTTTAAACAAATGAATGGTTTAGTAGCAAGTTGTCCATTAACAGTAAGACTAGCAAAAGTCGATTTCCTATGGATTTGCATATTACGTAAATCCCCTCATACATATTCCCCCCCTTCTCTCGCATCCCTGGTGCCCTGCACCTCTCCCTAGCAGTTATCTTCAGCTGCCACCCATGCCAAACTGCAGTCACTAATGGGCTGATACACGTGGGGATTGTCAAGCTAGCGGGTGCATCTCAGAATGGACATGGCTCTGAGTTACACTGCTGTTCTCTAACCAGATGCACCAATTTGGTTTTCTGTTCTCTACACACCATTTCTTACAAAACTTTCAAGAATCTAGCATCTTTGAAACCTTTACCTTTTTGTCATTTTGGTTTGAAAATATTGAGGCAGTTCAAAAGGTGTTAGGAGGAGAACTGACAGGAAAAGACTGCACAGGCAGTTTGCCTCGGCATTGTTTTCTGATTAAACTACTTGAAGCCTGGGGGAGGCCCGAACAGTTGTTTCCAAGAGCGGGGATTCATATGAACAATGTGGCTGTGTACTGCACTTGCATGCAGTGTCCATTTGTAAGGCGCTGGAGGGCTTGCAAGGGGAGAGAGAGAGCCAACTGGACGCATATTTTCTGAGGGCACTGGGGGAACCCCTGACAAAGGAAATCTGTTTCCCCAACACTGCCTGACTGGTACAGAGTACCTATCTCATAAAATCAATGTGTGAACTTGGAGATAGACTTGCAGTACAGAATTACACTCTGATCTGTCTTCAGTAGGATAGGCACAGATAGATTAGATTTAGTAGTTATTTTCTTTTACAAAGAGAAATTTCTGTGACTCTGAGATCCAAGCACAGTGCAGGGGTAAGTAGGCTAGTTCGAGTGCTACAGTAACAGTTACTCTACTTTAAGTGAGTATGCAAATGTGCTTTTTGAAAGAGAATTTGAATATTTCTCATGACACTGAAGTGCATTGTTCCATACCACATATTGCTAGTCAGCGTGAATCAACTTGGGTTATTCTTCCTGTAGGAAAGCCACCCCAGTGTGACACTGGCAGCACTGAGGTTGCCAGGACAGTGCATTATCCAGACTGAATCACAGCATGTTTGCAATGGGAGCGATGAAAATCAGCATAGCAGAGGAATTAGAGGACTTCCATGATGAGTCCTCTAAGTTCTTAATTTCTTCCTCAAACTTTGTGTTTATTCAGCTTTCTTTTGGCAGATGGCTACTCTTCAGAGGACATCGTCTACCACTGGTCAGAAAACCAGGAGGAGATCCATGGGCTGGATAAGCTGCAGCTTGCTCAATTCACAATTACCAATTACCAGTTCACAACAGAAATGATGAACTTCAAATCTGGTAACAGGATCTGTCTTCAATTCAGGAACAGTATCTGACTTTTCCTGCATAGGGAAACTTCCTGTATCTACAACAGAAAATCCTTCTTATTAAGGAACTAATTCAAGAATCTGTCAGGTTTCTGATAAGAGTTTTCTTTAGCTTACACTTGCAAAAAATGCCAACCTTTGCTGAGCCTTCAGGTAGCCACTGTAGCAAATTGTGCCCTTTAGCTCTGTATATTTGACAAAATACTGCATGGTGGAGTAGCCAGACAGCACTCGATAAAAAACACTTGAGGTATAGCTCACATTTTCTTGACCTAATTTGCAACTTCAGATAAAGAAAAATTTCCATTAGCCCTGGTGTTATGAGGCTTTTGATGTACAGTCAGATCATTCTAATTCTATCCAGTAGAAGTCAGTGGTGTGTATGCGTATCACTGGGTTTATCGCAATGTTTGTAAAAGATTGGAGTCTTTTCTTTCCTGCTGATTTTTCATCCTCTTTCATGTATTCAGATTCTCATTTATGCTGCACATCTCCTCTAAGCTCTTTTCTGAGTTTGAAATTAACTTGGCCTTTTAAAAAATCTAAATTTAGTATCTGGAGGACTTTCTACAGCAGATGATAAGACAGTACACATTTTGAAGCAATACTGCTATTTGAGAAGACTCATGATTTTATTTTCAGATCTGGCATTGATATGACCCGAGATAAATCATTTGACCTATTCTTAGCTAACGGTGTTGATGAGAACTGCAGTACCTCGTGCAGGGTTTATGAAGACTAATTGAACAACATTCAAAAAAGCTTTTTGTGATCCTTGTCCAAAAGATGTTTAAGAATGTAGATCTGTGTCATTATAGGAAATGTTATTTTGAATATCAGTTTAACCGTACTTCACACAGTCAGAATCTTTCTTTGTCGGCATTTTTTTTCCAGCAGGTCAGTTTCCCAGGCTCAGTCTCCACTTCCACCTTCGGCGAAATCGAGGAGTTTACATCATTCAGTCTTACGTTCCTTCTATCTTACTAGTGGCCATGTCGTGGGTATCCTTCTGGATCAGTCAGTCAGCTGTGCCTGCCAGAGTGTCATTAGGTAAAACAGATAGCTTGGGGAACTAACAGGGAAGGGTATGCTGAAGTTGTAATTACGCTCTCTAATAATCCTCATTTTCCATGAAGGTGCATTTGTGAATACTATGTTTACATCTGCAGAAGAGAAGGTCCTTTAAAAGATTTCCTTCGTGTTTTAATTTCCATCATGCTATCAGAGCAGCTGCCTCAGTAAAGAACAGAAAATAACCATCTAAAGATGGTTAAAAGCAATAGTGAATGTGAGGCAGATGTATGAAATAATTGATTTGAAGGAACTGGGACAGTGACAAAAAAAATATTCCTAGAGCTTGTGGATCTGTTTGCTTGAGTAAGGGTTGCAAGTCCAGATGCAAAAGTTTTTGAGGGTTAAGCCTTCTGGTTTTGTTTGTCCTGACGTAGAACAAAACCAAGGGTAACATGTCCAAAGCTGCCTTAGCCATACAAATGCACAGTTTTTTACAAGCTCCCCTGTTTTGAAAATCAGAAGCCAGACTATTAAGGGGCTTCTACTGTGAAAATATTCCTCAGCTTCAGATTAGTAAATACACTTATTATAGTGTATACTATGAAACCTGAAGTAAATTTTCTCACACTACACTGCAGGTATAACTACTGTTCTTACTATGACTACACTGATGGTCAGTGCCCGATCTTCGCTTCCACGAGCATCTGCCATCAAGGCACTTGACGTTTACTTCTGGATTTGCTATGTGTTTGTCTTCGCTGCACTGGTAGAATATGCATTCGCACATTTCAATGCTGACTACATGAAAAAGCAAAAGAACAAGATAAAGGCAAGAAGGCAGAGTGGAGAGGTCAGTAAGTGTAATACTGTGAATAACTTTGCAAAAGCAATCACCCTGCATTATGACATTTTTCTACTTTGGAAGCAAATTCTTCTACCCCTTTTGGAAAAAAAAAAATTCCTGGTTAATTCTTTTGTCATGTTAATATAACAAGCAACCAAATGCAACTAATTGCAGCATGGTTAGCACTAAAGACAACATATTCTTACATGGTTTGCTGCTGTATTTAAGGTAGGAAATGGAGAACAAGAGAGAGAGGCAAAGTATGTCTTGAGCCAGATTTTGTACATCTTACACTTTGAGAATACCCTGTGATATTTGTCCAGTCCTCAGTGGAAGTTACGGTAACCTTGAGTTGCTCCTGTAGGGTCACGGCAAAGTCATTATGACAGTATTACATGGGATGGGGAAGAAAGGCCCTTTCTCAGAAGGTGTTCTTTAGTAGCTGCTTCTGCTAAGACTCTTTTAGTTCTGCTACACCATAATAAAATGCTGTCAGCAAAACAAAAACTACGCCTGTAGTCTTGAATGTTGTCCCCTGGAGATTACATTTTTTACACCTAAACTGCATGAGGTAAATACAAATATAATTAGCATGGATATAAGTTATGTAGATATGAAGCCCAGTGAAACTGAACAAAGGAGTCCGTAGATGAAACTTCTTCCAGGAACTCCAGATGGCTTTGCTGCTTTCTTCATTTGCATACATGCATGTTAGTGATGAAGCAGAATGAATTAATTGATTAAGGAACTTTTTTTTTTTTTGGACAATTCACAATTTTGTAGTCCAGGCCTACATATTTTTGAATTCTCTGGCTGCTTGGGTATTATTTATGATTATTATTACTTCATTTTATTAAGCTGTAGCAGATACAACTGATCCATATTCATTTCCTGTCCCACCTCCACGTTCTCTCAGCTTTGACAAGAGCCTGAGAACTGCCTATTGGCTTTGGCCACGGAACAGGATGTCTCCTTAAATCAGTCAGCTATTTTCAGTCAGGAGTCCCTAAGCATGCTGCCTCAATGGAGCCTCAGTAATTCAGAGCATGTAAAATTATAAACAGAATTTAGATGTGGCAGCATAGTCTTCTTTCAGTGGTCCTTCTGCCAAAGCAAGTGATAAATACCATTCAGCACTTGTGGATCTCGTAGGTATTTCACCATGTCAGTATCATGGCTAGCTTGGATGAAGTTCGCTACTTCTGCCCTACAAGTCGCTATTATAGGTTCTCCTCTTTCCTTTGCAGGTAAATGTGAAGAACGCCATTGTTCTGTTTTCCCTTTCCATAGCTGGTGTGAACCAGGAACTGGCCATTTCCAATAGGCAGCACCGAATTCCCAGAAGCCTGCCTGGATCATATGGCACAATAGAAATCGAAACTGGAGAGACAAAACAGCGACAAATAATGAAACTGGATAAAAAGAGTGGTCTGAAGTCCCTCTTTAAGCCCATTGATGCTGATACCATTGATATATATGCCAGAGCCGTGTTCCCAGCAGCCTTTGCAGCAGTCAATGTTATATACTGGGTTGCATACACAATGTAAAAAAAAAAAAAAAAAGAAAGAAAATCCATTTGAAGAGCTACAAATTGAACAATACCTACAGACTAAAAAGCCCTTGCTGAGACTGTATTGATCATCTCTTCTCAAAATATTTTCCAATGAGCTCGAGACATTTCTAAGGTCAAGAAAGTCCTGTGATCAATTCCTACTAAAAGCAGCAATTTATTACCGATCTGATTTGGTACAGTAATAACTGCACTCTGCCAAACAATCCCAGCTCCTTATTTTCTGTATTACCATGAGACGATTTTTCATATGTACATATTTGCAGCAAAAGTTTAAATCTTAAATTACCGTTGTTTTCCTCCACTTTAAGGGTTGATCAGTGATGAAGATTTGGCTTTTCACAGTCAGATCATTTCCTTTTTTTGTGACAGAAGAGCTAATTCCTCACTTCCACACATGCGTGATTTTCTGCATCTGGCCTTCTGTGGGATGGTCTAAGTTTAACAGTAGTGGTAAAGTTGGAGTTTTGGATCATAAAAATCTCACAAACAAAGTAAATGGGAACAGAAGGGAGTGGAGGCTGTTTCTTAAATTATTATTTGTCTTGGATAAAGTATTGAAAACATTTCAATGCTCTTAGTCACAGCATGAAATAAAATATACGACACAAAATTCTACTGAATTGTTAATAATGACTGTATTACATTTCAGACCTAAGCTAATGAAAGTTTAAACACTTAAATACAGTAATGTTTATTAGTTTAATAGGCCCAAAAATAGACAAAAGTGATTTAGAAACACAGAGAAAGCTCAGGCTTTCTATGTTGAATTGGGAAAAATTTTAAAGGTGCTTGATAACGAAGGAACTCAGACTCCATTTTCAGGAAGGACTTTAGAATTCATTCTGTTAATTTTCAGTGAGAGTCTACCATGTGTGCCTCTGAAAATAACTATTTTGCATCTGTCCCTAAATAGCTGAGTGAAGTAAAGAAATGTCATAAATGGCTTTAAGTTACTCAGTTGCTTTGGATATTTTTGCCATTTTTATTCAGAGGCTGACCTAGTACATTAGGCCTCTTCAATTCCATTATTTGACAATGAAATTTGTGGGTACTCATACACGCTCCTTAATTCAGGACTAGATCCTCTCACCCAACTCGTGCAAAATAACACTTTGTTCTGTAAATAATTCCAGTGAACTCAGCAAATGAATGCAGCATTCACGACAAATACAAGTTTCATAATTAATCTCTAAAAAACTCCTCAGCAAATATATTGGGATATGGATTAAAACAACTGAAATATTGTTAGTTTAGGAAACTAACATAAGACACTTTAAAAGGGAATTTTTTTTGAGGATTTTGTTGCCTTGAAAGTGAGAGGTTTTTTCAAATATAGACACTGACACAAAAGGAAATATGAAATGAGAGAGGGAGAGAAGGAGGGAAGCAAAGCAAGTGGCTGAAAGCCACGATAGGAGGGAGCATGGGGAGGTGCGGGATTAAACAAGCCAAAAGATGTAGATAAGAGTTGTGCTGGGCTTTGAAGACGGGGATCTTGAACGTAGTGGCTGATGATTAATAGTTGCAATTACAATAAGGATGAAACAAGCATTTAATCACAGTGGAGTGTACGCACATTCCTCCTGCCTTACTTATCTGTGGCATAGGGTTTGATTTCGTATGACCAGCACTGAAATACAGAGCATTTTAGCACAGATTTATAACTTAAAATAAGATTTGTTCAATATCACTGAAGTAAGAGAACGCTCTGAAGAAAAAATAATAATCCTGAATTGAGCTATAATAGAAAATATGCTCCTATCATAAGTCAGGCTTAGGTTCACCTTAGTCTATAGTTTCTGTTATAATGGAAAAACTATTTGCCAAGTGTGCTGGAAAGCGCAAACTGACATCAAGCTATAATTGTTCCATGAAGTTCTCACCAGTCTAGCCCTGGACTGAGACACACGGATTCTGCTCCAAGATCTTGCCACTGACTTGCTGGGCAATCTTAGTTAAGTCATTTCACTGCATCATCTGCAAAGTTGATATAATTATACTGATTTATTTCCTATATCTTTGAGTTTTACAGAAGAAAAACCCTTCAAGAGAGACAGAAACTCTCATCCTCCAACTAGGTAAGTGCGTCCAACTAGTACTTATGTGGTGCTATTTACCATAGTTTCTGAGACTCTCACATACTGAATTAAAGCAAAGTATCACTCAATTTTCACCTTTTGCAAAAAGCTAATGAAATTCTGTAACTCCTTCAATACATGCAGGTAATCAGGCTTCCTTTTTCCCTTCTGTTTCTCTTTCTGTTTTGTTTTTCTTGGTGTTTGTTCCTGATGTTGATGAAATGCTACATTACAGAAATACACCGGGTTTTTTTTCAAAGTGTGTTTTTGGTCATAATCACTTTCTCCCAAAGGAAGTTCAACCCCTCCTGCTCTCTTCTGAATCATTCTTACTGTTTTATATAATGATGAAGTGCAGGGTGGAACAAAAACAGCAGAAGCATGACTTTACAATGCTTTTTGCTTACTAAGTTGTTTTTTCCATGATCCTGTGTCTACCTCTCCTTTCAGCTTAAAACTGAGCTTTTTCAATTTATACCTGACCTAATTCTTGTCTGGCCTCAGAAGCATCAGAAGTTTAAATGTAACTCTTGGATGATGCACTTTCATAGGCAAGGCAAGACGGTAGACAAGTCTTAAATATTCTGCTCAGCACTTTGAACAGTGCTACGCCCTTTAGAAAGGCCATAGTACCTTATTCTTCTCTGTTACACTTGCATAAATCAGAAATAATCTTTGATAGATTAACTACTGCTGTGAAAGCAGAGTCTAACCTTTTTGTATCCTCCTGGTTTCTCTAGCTGTTAGTTTATTATATTGCCTGTCAGGGTCAGTATCTACTGCTAAGAGTTAAACTATTGACTAAATCCAGCTGAAGAAATACTTGCAGCAAGTTCCTGTGGAGTGTAAATCATAAGAAAATAATCCATGATTTTGGAATTAAAGTTATTAAAGAGCAGAGAAAAAAGCACTGACCTAGTCCCTCTAGTGTGCAGTGGCTGGTTATTTAGAGTAATTAGCAAGAAGGCGGCTGCAGATATTATAAAGGCAGTGTCTAATCTAATTACTTCAGCAGTAATAGTTTGTAATTGTGCACCTGACATAACTCCTTACACTGAAGCCAACTGAGTAATCACATGGGGTTATTGGACAAAATTAGTTGCTTCTCCATCTGGGAGACAGTCATAGGCTGCATGCCCTGCTGACTTCTTCAAAAGATTTATTCAATTAATTTTTCTGTAGTTTGACTGCAGATCTTCAAGGTGCACAGCTCAGTTCTGATTGACCAAAGTAAAAGGTGGCAGCAATCTTTTCCTCAGAAAAAAAAAAAACCAACCAAAAAAACCCCCCAAAGCCAGAATGCTAGACTATCACAATGTTGCAGACAGAAGCATAAATAAAGGGGGGGGGGAAATCCTCTCAAAACATTGCAGGCAGTCAGAAATGTGCACTGTGAGCAAACATATGGCAATTGTGTCCATTCCAGGAATGAGGTGACTCAGAAGAGAGAACAGGTGTTTCAGCTACTGTTGCTGCACTTGCATGAGTAGCACAAGACAAAACACCTCCATCATGAAGAGTGGGATTTTCTTAAATCTGTTTCCAGAGCCAGAAATAGAAAAGTCAGATGCCATTCAAACTCTTTTAAGGAGAAACTTCAGTACCGGAGTATGGTGTAATGATTGGAGTTTTGCATAAATTTGAATATTCTGTACTTTTGGATGTGCTTTACTTTCTTTTTCCATTTAAAATCATCATACTTAAAAACCATCAGACATTAATACTTTAGACATATTAACATCTAAAGACAATACCCTATTCAACTCTAATTTCACGGTGCCCTTAATAAACAGAAATAAACTAAATTTGATCTTAGTTGAATGCTGACTTTGGATGGCACTTTTTCTGTGCTGTACCTGAAAGCATTTGTATTCCTTTCAGCAGTTTAGCGTACTGCTCTATGGACTGGCGTGTCCATGATAAAAAGAGTGGGATATGTGTTAATGTAATCATTCTAAATGTGAAGTGTTAATAAAATGTAGATATACAGAAATTGGAGCTTCTATAAATGGACAAAATAGACATTCCAACTATTGAACTGGAAGATAAAATGCATTAGAAGGAAAATCAACATACACTCAGAGATTTCATCCCATAATGAAATCCTGCCTATTCAGTGCCCAAGGACTTGTAAAACTCTACTTTGGCCTTGACAACAGAAGAGAAAGTACCATTCCGTATTCATGAGTGCTTTCTGTGGGGCACTTATGCAGACTACTGTATTTATGTTAAAAAATAGCTGTTGCAGCCTCAAGAGGTTGAAAAGAATCAGCACAAGATGAAGAACAGCAAGATACTGCATGATTTGTTTGAAAGTAATGCTGGCAGTGACAGCACTATTAAGAGGTTAATATACAGAAATATCTGTCCTGTTTCTGGGTAAAAATGAAAGCATTTGTCCAAGTTAAAGTAAAAGCTCTCACATCAGTTCTTAACCAGTTTGCTAATCTAATAGATAATGTAGCGAAACCAATTTAACTCAATGAGGCTTCTACTGTTGGTACAACAAAACACTTAAAACGATTGCTCTGATTTTAAATACTCAGTCATTAACCTAAGAAAGCACTTCACATTAGGAGGAAAACAGCACCCCTGCACATTTGTCTGTGAAGCAGACTAGATTAAAAAAAAAACTTATTGGAAGTTACTGAGAATATTTTCATTAAAAAAAAATCTGAAGCAATTCCCTCATGCCTTCTTTATTATAACAGCTTAAAACACTTGCAATGGTTGCAAGCTTGTTTGATGTTATGCTAATACTGCGTGCAATATATGTTACAAACATATATAGCTAATGCCACTTAATGAAAACTGAATAAAAATTTGGCAATGAACATGTCTATTTGGATGGATTTGGTGGCCGAAATGAGAAAGGCACTGTCTTTTTTGCCTTTATAGCTTGTGTCTTAAATGAGATGAATTTGAGGATCTAAGCCCATCGTTACACAATGCATTAGGGATCTGTTCTCTCCTTATACCAGCTTTATGTCATGGTTATTCCTTTTACTAAGTCCTGCACAGGAAAAACAAATCTGAGAAGACAGTCAAGCCCAGGCTGTCAGAAAATATAGCACCAACAGAACTAATCAGATGTTATTGGGAGTTCACTGTTCCGCAAAAAGACTGGTCCAAAAAAAGAAATCCAAATAGCCCTCATTTCTGAGGCATCTGAAACGTCTGGATTCACTCTAGGTTTAAGACCAATCAATACACAGGACTCATTCCACTGAATGAAAGATCCTTCTAGCCCAGTGTCCAATCTCCACCTTTTGGCATAAAGCCTGTCGTGGAGTTGCTGAGTATGTGCATCT